GGGGGGATGGAAGAGCGATGTGGCAGTTTGGGGGGGATGGAAGAGCGATGTGGCAGTTCGGGGGGATGGAAGAGCGATGTGGCAGTTCAGGGGGATGGAAGAGCAATGTGGCGGTTTGGGGGGATGGAAGAGCGATGTTGTGAAGTCACGTCCTGGCTCCCTGGGGAAAGGACTGACTGCCCCTGGTCCTTGGAGGGGTGCGTTGCTGGGTTCGTTGCTCAGGCGGAGTCGGAAAGCCCTGTGATGGGGCCCGGGCCCGATCACTGGCTCTTCCCCTCGCCTTGCTGAGCCTCAGCTTCCTCATCAGGAAGAGGGAGGCCTAGGTGAGGAGACCGAGTTTGGCGAGATGACAGAAGCGTTCGCAGGGGCCTGCGGCTGTCGTCCGTTCAAGGAGGCAGTGGGAGGAATAAGATCATTGTGCCATCGCTGGTTTAGGGATCCTGGACCGGCAGCCTTGCCTCCCTGTGCCTCAGCTTCCTCATCTGTCGAGTGAGGCTCGTAGTTGGCGCTTACCTCGGGAGCACAGTGGTGAAGCTAACATACCGAGCCCTCACTCCGTGCCGGACCCCGGGCCTGCCCAGCCTCCCCGAGCTGCCCTGGCGCACAGGAAGCCCGCAGTAAGCGTTGAGCATTAGGACTGTGTTTCTGTTGCTCATTCCTTCAGGTGATTGCTTCACCGCGAAAGGGGCGGTCGTCCCCCTGCTCCTGAGGCTCAGCGCCCTTCCCCAAATGGTGGCCATTACGTTGCCCCCTCCCTTCCCTGAGTTGCTGTGAGGATCAGACTCCAGCGCCGCGCCTTATGGAGAGTCAGCACGCAAGTGCCAACTACTGCCACGTGGCTTGTGTGGGAAGTAGATTGTCTCCGGAGACCCCAGGGAGCACAGTGCTCTTGGCCAGTGTCCCCGGCTACCAGATAGGGATGCCCCGGGCTTGCAGCCACCCGAAGGTCACCTGGCTCCGGGCCTGGCTCTGGCACCGGCCAACAGTGGCTTCAGTGCCCTCGCCTGTCCCAGCTTCTCCCCAGAATGTAAGGCCACAAGAACAGGGTCTTTGGGGTTAGTTCTACCCCTGTTTCCACAGCACCTTCGGTTAAATAAAGCTTGGTGGCCCTGAGTGCCTGAAAGGGCCAACGAATGGGCCTCCTGGGGTGAACCTGACACCCTGGAGGTCCTTGCAGCATGGTTCGTGGGTTCGCTCCTGCATTCGACAGAAATCTGCCAGCCTTCCTCCCTGGGCGGGAAGGAGCTGTTCAGGATGATACGAGCGTGCATGAGGAACCTGATCTTAAGTCTGAGAGGGGAAGGGCCCCCAGAGAACATGGCCTACAGCCTGAGAGGGGTGAGGTGGAATAAAAGAGGCAAAGAGGGAGCAGGAAAAGCATTCCAGGAGAAAGGAACAGCACATGCAAAAGCCCTGAGGTCTGAAGGCTGTCATCCAGGGAATTAATGTGGAGGATGGAGTGAGGAAGGCCGGCGGGACCCACCCTGCAGGGCCTTCAGGGCCCAAGTTTAGGGATTTGGATCTATTTCCTATAAGGAATGTGAAACCCTTAAGAGCCACACCGAGTCCTGTTAAAACACCATGGAGTCAGACAGCCTGAGTTCCAGTCCAGACTCCACTGCACCTTGCAGTAACCTAAGGCAAGTCACTCCCTCCCTGTGCCTCAGTTTCCCCCTCAGAAACATGGAGCCAATAATCACATGTGCTCCCTGGTCACAACCCCCTCCCACTGGGGGCAACCAGTGTCCTGACTCTCATGATTATCATCCATCGTTTTGCTACCTATATATGCATCTCTAGATCTAATTTGTTCAGCTTGGTTTTGAACATAATGTGAATGGGATCCTATAGTATGTGCTGCTTTTGTGTCTGGCATCTTTCATTCAACATTATATATGTGTGATTCACCCATGTGGTGACTACAACTCATTTCAAGGCTTTGTATTTTTTCACAGTATGAGTATACCAGTTTGTTTATTCATCTTTTTGACTGACGTTTGAAGGTGCTTGTTACCCTTATCCCAGGGCACGTGTATGCGATTTCTCTAGGTTATGATCCTAGGAGAGAAAGTGCTGGGTCGTCAGTTAAGCCCATCTTCAGGCTTAATCACTAGATATTACTAAGTTTTCCAAAGTGGTTGTACCAATTTACACACCTAACCAGCCACAGAAAGGGATCCAGTGGCTCTACATTCCCCAACAGTCCTTGCTACGGTCAGACTTTTAAATTTTTACCAGTGTGTTGGGTGTGTAACAGAAGGTTTTCTTTTTACCTAAATTTATTTAATTTTCAAGAGTGGAGTTAAGTGCAAACATCAAGCTGAAAACTAACGCAGATGGCCTGTGGGATGTGGCACAAACCCAGAGGTTTGGGAAACGTGGTGCTAACTGTGTTTCTGTTGCAGCTGACTCCACGGGCACCCACTCCCTCTACACGACATACCAGGACTACGAGATCATGTTCCACGTCTCCACCCTGCTCCCTTACACCCCCAACAACAGGCAGCAGGTCAGTGGGGCCCAGGGCGGGGGCCCCCACATGATTTCCAGTGGATGCACGACTGAACCCCAAGTCACTCTCCTTCCCTGCGGCTGGTAGCTGGCTGCCTGGCAGGCATCGGTTCTCCTTCTCCTGTCCCGTGCAGTAGGTGGGGGGCCTGTGGCCTTGGAGATGCTCCGCACCATGGGCACGTCACCTGGGGGATGGAGGCTAGATCAGGTGTTGTTTGATACCAGTGTTTTTCTAGCTGTTCCTTGGCCATCCTGCTTGCATCTAGCTACCCAACTTAGCAGTCTCTTGCATCACCAGGGGTCCTGTGAAAAAGAAGAGTGAATCAGTCAACATTATTTCAACAGAAGTAACAGAAACGCAAACCAAACTGCCATAAGCAAAAACTGAGTCTTACCAGGTGGTGTAACTCTCAAGTGCCTGGTTAGGGTTGGCTTTAGGTATGGCTGGATCCAGGGCCTCAGTGTTAGGAATCCTTTTCATTTCTTATCTCTGCTTTTCTTCATCATGGCCTTCACAGGTCTTCCCAAGTAGTGGCAGAGATGCCCCCTGGCAGCCCTCTGCTCACATCCCACCAGGAGAGCCACCCCCGGGGAGAGAGCTATGCCTCCCTGGTGTCCCAGAAACGTTTTGTTGACCAGTCACTCACTTGCCGGTCCCTGGGCCTGGGGCAGGGGTGGAACAAGCTGACTGGCCAAGCCTGAAGCACATGCCCACCCCTAGGGAGGGTGAATGGGGTCAGCTCAACAGGAAATGTTGATAGGGATCAGGGAGGTGCTATCCCAAAGGGCACGCACATGGCTGCCAGAAGAAGGAGGAAAAGGTACTAGGTGGGCAAGAGCAGCTAACGCCTGCTTCGTGAGGCTCCTCTCCTGAACATGCCATGCAGACTCTGTCCTGAGACAACTCTTCCTAGTTTCTAAAGAACAGAAACCCCACAGACTTGTGGTTTAGAAAATGCCTGTTTTCTTCATTGGTACAGATGACATTGTAGATTATATAGACCAAAAATGGTCGGATCGGAGTGATCTCATGAAGTTAACCTGGTAGCATTCTGTAAGAGCATTGATCTCAGAGTTAGCCCTGATTTTGAGTTCTTTCTTTACCACTTCTTAGCTTTGTGATCCTGCATCTCTGAGCCTGGGGTCCCTCCTCTGTAAAATGGGCAGATTGACGGCACCCATATCTTGGGAAAGGTCTCTGCACGAGGCAGGGCCCAACACCCAGGAGGGGCATAGGAAGCAGTCCCTCGTGCTGGATATTTGGTAGGTGGGGAAAGCTTGGGTTGCAGAGTCAAGCAGAAGTGGATTCAAATCCAGGCTCTTTCCTCCCGTGACTATGTGACAGAGGGCAAGTCACTTAACCACTGGGAGCCGTAGTGTTCTCATCAGTAAAGGGTAAGGATGAGTTCATGCCCCACAGGGTTGTTGTGATAAGATGAGCTGGCCGCTCGGAGACCCGATGGTAAGATGCCTCGCCCGGGGCTGGCCACAGCAAATGGGTACTTTATCTAGCAATGTCACCGGTTTTAAAGCACACATAAAGAACAGTTCCGTAGTGTGAATCGTGCTGCTCGGTGTAAGTGTATCTGGACTCCACATTCTGGGTCACTTGATGTCGAGCTACACGGGATGCCCATCTGTGGACCTCACGTTCCCAACATGGATCCCTGACCGTGACAGTCACGCAAAGACTCAACTCATGTAAATAGGAATGCTGTAATGTCAGCAAATAAGTAAAATACTGTGAATACGTCATCACCTGCAGAGGTAACAGTCTCTTGGTCAGAGACTGTGAGAAACAGAGGAGAGAGGACCGGGCTCCCGTGGGCCAGTCCGAAGCCACAGCTGCCCCAACTTTCCCACACCAGGTGTCCGGGGCAGGGACGGCGGCAGCGGCCTGGGATGGGCTCTGCGGGTGGTGTCCGGTCAGCTGCCATGGGCCGTGAGCAAGTCCGCGTCCACCAGCCCATGCGGACCTCCAGTGGATGTTAATTGAACACCTACTGTGTGCCGACACTGCTCTCAGCACTAAGCACACTGCAGTAGGCAGCAAACGAAACACCTGGGGACTCTTTTACCCCGAGTGGGGCAGAGCCACCAGAGGGCTCTGAGCAGGGAGAGACATGATCCAACCCAGGTCCATGGCTCCCTCTAGCTGCCTGTGGGGACCACACCGGGGAGGGGTGAGAACACGGGGTGGCAGGGAGGCTGCTGTGAGGGTCCAGGATGGGCCCTCAAGCCAACCTGTGCCGCCCTCCTCTCTCCCGTTTCCCTTTACCAGCTACTAAGGAAGAGGCACATAGGAAACGACATTGTGACGATCATCTTCCAGGAGCCAGGGGCGCTGCCTTTCACCCCCAAGAACATCCGCTCACACTTTCAGCACGTCTTCATCATCGTCCGAGCCCACAACCCTTGCACTGATAATGTGTGCTACAGGTACGCATCCCTGCACCGGCTCCCCCCACCCCTGCCCCCTCCCCTGCACGCATCGGAAGTCGCAGCAGCTGATCTCCAGCCTCCGGGCAGCGTGCAGAGAGAGAGCCAGCAGCTGGCCCGGCGGACACCTCCAGTGCTGCCTGTGTGTGCTTCACATCCCCACATGTCCTCACGTCCCCACATCTTCTAAGAGAGTGATCCTCAGTCAGAAAGCGGCATGGCACCCCAGTTTTCATTGGGGATTCGCATTTGCCTGGCATCTTTCGGTTGCAAGTGACAAGAACACCGCCTCGATCTGGCTTAAGGCAGAAAGGCATTTGTATATATCGGCTCTCCCAAATGACAGGTTCAAGCGTAGCTCGATCTGCTCCACTTTCCTGTACATTGCTTCGTTTGCTGGCAGCTCTAAGCTTAACATCCTCCCAGCTGCAAATCCAGCAAAAGGAGGACTTTGCTTTCCTCGGAAGAGAAGCTCCAGAATTGAGGCTCACTGACCTGGTTGGGGGGTGAGGAGCCCATCGTGGAGCGAAACCACCACCAGGCCCAGGGTTGGGGTGGGGGGCACAGGGGCTGAGGCACAGGGAGTGACGGCCGGAAGGAGAATCAGAAGATGGAAGGATGGGGGCAGGGCAGACACGCACGCGTGCACGCATGCACCGCTCTGGATATAGAGCTGAGGTTTCAGTTCACAGATCAACAGGCCTCACAGGCCTCAGACCATTCAGCATCCTCCCAAGGGCCAGGTCTCACCCCAGGGAGTGGCCAGCAGCCAGAGGCCAAATGGAAAGCTGTCCGGGTATGGGGTGAGGATGTAGTCCTTGGAAACCAGCTGACAGATGACCTAGGCCCGGGCCAAGGGCAGCACATGTCCCTGGAACAGCACCACAGACTCTGGGGAATGGGCTGAGAACGGTTTGAAATTCAAAAGATACAAAAAGCAAAAAAAAAAAGTCACAGTCTCCTCCCACCCCTGCCCCACCCCCCACCACCCAGTTGTCCTGTTAGTTTCTTGTGCATCCGGAAATTTCATACATGTGCAGGTAACTACTTCTAAGTATTCGTTTTCCCCTTGTTAATACACACGGAGCATGTCACACACGCTCACCGATCCTTGAGATCCCCAAACCAGTACATTAAGTGCTTTTTTATTCCTTATGACCGCACGACATTCCATCGTGTGGATGCACGAGACTCTTCCCCCCGTGATGGGCATTTGGGTTGTCCTGTCACCCACTGTTCCACTCCATCCTGAAGTGAATAATCTTATTTCTGCTCTCATTGCACGTGCGTCCACGTATACAGCTGGGGAAATTCCTAAAAACAGGGTTACTGGGTCAAAGGGTATGTGCGTAGGTGCACTGGTGGTCCTGATGGAATTGCCAGAACCTACCATTTTCCTGTCAGTGAGGTGAAGCGGAGAAGGGAGGAGGGTTCCATCACCGTGCAGCGCATGCGGTTACTCATTCCTGGGACACAAAGTGGCCACTGCAAGTGCCTCCGTCTTGCGGCTGGGTGAGCCTGAGCTCGCTCGCGGGATGGGATGTCCCACGTTCCTCGCATCAGAGGCAGGGCTTGAGCTGGGGGCGTGGGGTGGGCCCCCTCCTTCCCTGCTTCTGCCTGGGCTGTCACAGCAACCCACGGCCGACCCCCCGCCTCTCCAGGCCAGCCTTTGGCCTCCAGGATGCTGGCTTTGTTCTGATTCACAAACCCTTGTTTTTTTCTGTTTTTTGTTTTGTTTTGTTTTGTTTTGTTGCGTTTTAAGATTATTTATTTGAGAGATCGAGCAAGCACCCCGCGTGAGCCGGCGCGGAGGGGCAGAGGGAGATAGAGAATCTCAAGCAGACACCCTGCTGCTCGCAGAGCCTATTGCGGGGCTTGATCTCACAAGCCTGAGATCATGACCTGAGCCGAAATCAAGACTGCGCCACCCAGGCGCCCCTAAACCCTTCTTGTTTTTTACAATTTAAAATATTTTTATTATGCAATATTTTAAACATTCTGAAAAGCGCAGAAAATAATATAACAGACACCCATGTGCCCACCACCAGATTTAACAGATGTTAACATTTTGCCATATTTGCTTCAGCTCTCTTTTCTTTATTTTTAAAGAAAGAAAATGTTAGACACAACCAAAGCTGCCCCCCCTCCTTCCCCACAGGCAGCTGGTCCCCAGACAGACCACACCCTGCCCCCCCGCCCCTCCCCACCATGTCCCCAAACACATTTCCATCACAGCACCCGTCATGCTGTAAAAATGACTTCTTGGTGTGTCCCTGGCCTCCTTTGAGGATAAACCTGTGTCACATCCCCCTCCGTGTATCTGTCATGGCACGGGGTCTGCCATCTAGTGGGCCCTAAAGACATTTTTGCTGACCAGACAGATGCCTGGCCCAAACATCATAGGCCCTGAGGAAATAATTGTTCAAGGAATAACTGTGAGTATTCTGGAAATACTTCCTGAGCTACAGCAACCAGGTGGCCTGGTGTCACACCATCTCCTGGTCGTGTAGCGAGGTGCTGTCTTTGTGGTTCCAAGTGCGCCATTTCTGAGGGGCACGCCGTCGTCCCTGCAGCCTGGGGGCTGTGAAAACCCAGTCCCACCTGTTGGGACGTAAGGGACCAGCTGTTCTGCTTGTCCAGAAAGCTTCAGCAGCTTGTAGTTTCATGATTCTTCAAATCGTGGATCAGGACTATGGGAAACACCAAAGTCTGTCACTCTAAGCAGTGAGGTGCTGACTGGAGAAGTTGCAAAGCTGTTCACATCTGTAAAGTACAGTGTGGACACACCACAAATTAGAAAAACTGGCCAAGTCATCAAATCCCCCCCCACCCCGCGCTGTAGGCAAGGCCTTGCCCACATGGTTTTGGACAGAAGAAAACCCACCTGGTTTGTGTGGCCTTCGAAGAACCTCACCCCTGGGAAATGCCTTTTTCGGTCAAGCCTCTAGAAAACCTCCTGTGCACTGATAGAACTGTTTCTTCTTGGTCTGTTCAAGTTTAAGTCATTTTTTTTTAAAGATTTTACTTATCTGGGAAAGAGAGCACAAGCAGGGAGAGGGGCAGAGGGAGAGGGAGAAGCAGGCTCCCCACTAAGCAGGGAGCCCGATGCAGGGCTGGCTCCCAGGACCCTGGGATCATGACCCGAGCCGAAGGCAGATGCTTAATGACTGAGCCATCCAGGGGCCCCTAAGTCGTTATTTTAATCAGTAGTGAACAGCTGTGCTGGTGCTGGGGGATCAGCTAAGCTCCAGGTGGCACCTGCCCACATAGCACTCCAGAACTGGGGAAGGGTCGTTGGACCATGAACAGTGGAGGTAGCAGGCAAGGGATCTGGCCTGACCCGTCTTGGGTGTGCAGGAGCTTCCTCAATGATGATCTGCCTGTGCTCTGGTCCCTTCCAGTCCTTTCTTCGTGGGGCAGCCATGGTGATCTTTGCAGATCGTCAGTCTGGTGGTCACTCGTTGCTAGCACCTGTGTCCATCATGGACTGTTAAGAGGCAGATGCCCCGCTTGGGTTTTAACAGGGTGAATGAACAGGCTACTCACAGGCGGGCCTAGGTTAAGGGAACCAGTACAGGAGAGTGAGGCGTCCAGGGGCCAGCAGCAGCAGGGAGCCATTACGCAGCCCTTTTGGCTTGATGAGGTTGGAGAGGATGAGAGAAGTTTCTGGAAGCTAGAGAGAGCTATGGCTCTGGGAGAGGGGCCACCAGACAGGAGCTATGGCTGTGACTTGAAGGATCAAGGACGGCAGCCGCTGCCACCAGCCCAGCAAGAAGGCCACAAAGAGAACGCCATCTGCCAACCTCCCTCTCCCATCCGCTCCTGTCGCCTGCTGCCACTTCCTGTTGGCGGAATTCACTGGAAGCCGGAGGGCATGGGAAGCCAGGTGAAGGTGACCGCCTGCAAAAACCCACCTTCCAGGGCACTGAGCAGGGCAGAGAATGGCAGAGACCAGATCGGGGGGTGCAGAGAGTGAATAGCGAGTCCAGATGGTTAAAGGATCGCTTGCTCTCACGATTGAGATGAAAAGTGCTAACACACCGTCAGGGCCCTGCGATGCCTGGCTCCCATCCCGCTCCTCGCTTCTGGACTCCGACCACCCCAGCCTCATCTTTCCCCATCAGGGCTTGCACGTGCTGTACCCACTGCGTGCAGGGTCCTCCCCTCAGCTTTTCCTCTGGCTCCCACTCAGCCTCAGATCCCAGCATAATTATCACTTCCCCAGAGAGGCCCTCCTGGATTCCCCCCCACCCCGTCTAGATCCGGTCCTTCTGTTGTTCTGTCTGTAGCCCATTTGCTTTCTTTGTCTTTATAATTTAATTTGTAAGTGTGTGTGTTTGGTACACGTCTGCTCCTGGATTAAAAGCTCTGGGGGTCAGGGACTACTGTACCCCCAATGCCCAAGAGAGGGCGTCCCAGATATGCTTGTCACACAGAGGGAGGAATGTTACACTGTCCCCCTTGTCATGTGGGGGGCGGGTGGGGGCTGGGAGTCCTAACCTGAACAAGCCTTATACTATGTTTGGGTTTCATGGCATATGTTTTAGTCAGGAATCTCGTTATTTGAAAATTATTTTACTGTCGGGAGAGAAGCATTAGGAAATCTCTCCTAACACTGTGCTCACAAGGTGACATCTTTGTGGAGGATGAATACAATGCTCTTTAAGAAACTTAGCAAGCTGACTTCTCACTCAAATACAGCGACTCACACTGGTTTTAATCATCATCACCGAAACAGCATAGCTCCTGGAGTCTCCACCACCCCTTTAAACATCTTCCGGCGAGAGTCACGTTCCCCTGCCCCTGAGTGAGGACTCTGGAAGGGGCCGTAGCCTCTCTGCCTGACTTTAGAAATCGGCTGCCCTACAGTCACTGAGTCGCAACTCGATCTGGTCATTGGAAGGACATATCAGAGATACTCATCCAATCTTCGGATTTGACTTACCAGCGAATCTTCTCCCACCTCCCAGCTCAGGGCTGCTTCCCGCTGGAGGCCTCAATGGTTGGGGAGCCTGCTTACCTCTCCTCTGTTCCTCCACGTTGCACTTCTGCAGCTAACGGCTGATTTCTGACATGTCCAGGGTTGGAGCCCCGGGACGAAATGGGAGGCAGGCAAGTGTCACTGGACTGGGAGCACAGCTGAGCGCATGCTCCCTGGGCTCTGTGGGGGCTCCCAGCCCACCCTCCTGATCTCCCAGGCAGGGGGCTGACTGACCCCAGGCTCCTCCTGGCTATCAGTCACCTCAGGGGCGCCTGCTGCTGGCGAGGGTGGGTGCAGGCATGATGGGGCTCACCGCCAGCTTTCTCCAAAGGTGTTCCTCCCCATAGGCTCCTCTCTCTCTGTGGTTTGCGTAAGGGGTGAAGGGGCTCACTGGTTTGGCAGATCATTTCCTTTTTACTTTCTCAGTGGCTGTTCGTTTCTGTCACAGCGGCACCTTAGTCATAACCGCAGTAAGAAGGGTCTCTTCTAACTTCTCGTTACAATGAATTTTCAAAATAAGCTGTGTAGAGATGATTTACATGGTATGTTAAGTAATGTTACACAGATATGTGAAAGAAGCAAATCACAGGGTCCTGGGATCAAGTCCCACATTGGGCTTCCTGCCCGGCGGGGAGTGTGCTTCTCCCTCTGCCCCTCCCCCTGCTTGTGTGCTCACTCTCGCTCTCTCAAATAAATATCTTAAAAAAAAAAAAAAAGCAAATCACATAAATGTCCCACATCAGTTAGGTGTTCCCACAGTAACACTGCTTAACAAACCACCCCAAAATCCAGTGGCTCATAGGCATTAGCATTTTCTCTCTGGCCCACACGTCCGCAGGTCGGCTGAGGTCTGGCTGGCCTTGGCTGCGGGTCTGCTCCGGGTGTCCCTCCTCCTTCTGGGACCCCCTAAGGCATGTTCCTCTCATGGAGATGTCAGGAGCACAGGAGGCAAGCCCGCCTCCCCACATTTCATGCCTTGCTTGAAAGCCATTGGCCAAATCAAGCTACATGACCAGGCCCAGGATCGGTGGGGTGGGCATGTACCCGTCCTCGAAAGTGGAGAGGGAGGAGTGAATTTTTGCCAAACTGTAATCTACCAAATAGTTTATACGTATGTAAAATGAGAGCAACTGAAATGGAACAATGCTAGGAGAATTATTCTTGGAACGTCAGTGCATCGATGTTCTAACATCTGCTGTCCAGAAAGTAAACATGCATGCATGTGCCCTAAGACTATCTCGCTTCCAGTCTAGTTGGCCAGCAACTTACTAGATAGATGTAGATTTCCATTCTTAAAAAGCATACTCCTTGGGGTGCCTGGGTGGCTCAGTGGTTAAGCGTCTGCCTTCGGCTCAGGTCATGATCCCAGGGGCCTGGGATCGAGCCCCGAATCGGGCTCCTGCTTGGCGGGAAGCCTGCTTCTCCCTCTCCCACTCCCCCTACTTGTGTTCTCTCTCTCCCTGTGTCTCTCTCTGTCAAATAAATAAATAAAATCTTAAAAAAAAAAACACTCCTATTTCTGATCGCATATTTTCTTTCTAAAGGGAATCTCAAGTGCTTTTCTTTCTACCATCTATTTCTCCCTCCTCAGTATGGCTGTGACCCGATCCAAAGATGCTCCTCCTTTTGGTCCCCCAATCCCCAGTGGAACCACATTCCGCAAGTCTGATGTCTTCAGAGACTTCTTGCTGGCCAAGGTGATTAATGCCGAGAACGCTGCGCACAAGTCGGACAAATTCCACACCATGGCCACCAGGACCCGCCAGGAGTACCTCAAGGACCTGGCTGAAAACTGTGTCTCTAACACACCCATTGACTCCACTGGCAAGTTCAACCTCATCTCCCTGACCTCCAAGAAGAAAGAGAAGACAAAAGCGCGGGCGGGCGCTGAGCAGCATAGCGCAGGGGCCATTGCCTGGAGGGTGGCGGCTCAGGACTATGCCCAGGGCGTAGAAATCGACTGCATTTTGGGGATTTCCAACGAGTTTGTGGTGCTCTTGGACCTGCGCACCAAGGAGGTGGTGTTCAACTGCTACTGCGGGGATGTCATTGGCTGGACCCCAGACTCCTCGACGCTCAAAATCTTCTACGGGCGAGGGGACCACATCTTCCTGCAGGCCACAGAGGGCTCCGTGGAGGACATAAGGGAAATCGTCCAGAGACTGAAGGTAAGGGATAGAGCTCCTCAGTGGTACAGCTCTTCTGTGGTTTGGCGGAGGCCTCAGGGAACCCGCCCCCAGCCCCATCAGTCAGGCCAGAATACTAATTGGCCGCGAGGGAGTCAGAATTGCCACTTACACACTAGGGGGTCTCATGGGCCCTGCAGCCTGGGTTCTTTCTGGGGACACTTCGGGCCAGGGATCCAAGGCTGTCCATGAGGATCCCCTTGGGGAGAGAAAAGATAGATTTATTTACTCTAGGTCTTGATAGAAAATACAAGTTTACTCTTATGTTCAAAATGTAAGGGTACTTCCTAGAAGAATTAAAATAGAATGAAAAGCTTCAGGCTGTTAAAGGATAGGGCATAAAGCTGATGGGGGGGCGGGGGGGCGGATATAAGAAAGCATGGTAAAAGAAACAGACAGTTACATAACAGGAGTAATTCCAGATCCGTAATCATAATAAATGGGAATGGTTTAACTTCCTCTATTAAAAGACAAAGATTCAGTCTGGGTAAATTCTTGCTCAGGTTCAGAGTGTTGGCCAAACCAAGAGTGACAGATTGGTCCCAGGTGACAGCTTGGTAGGTGGTGGCCTGAAACGTGGTACTGAGAAGTACTCAGGCCACGTGTGAGCCTCGTGGGAAGGAACGGTGTCATTGGCAATGGGCTCCCAGTGGGTTTCACAGAAGGCCACATCATGCATGTGAAATAGGGAAGGGAGCCTGACACAGACATGGGTTCTAGAGTCACAAGGCCTGGCTTTGGGTCCTGGCACTGCCACTGGCCATCTGTGTGACCTTGAGCCAAGTCCTTAACTGCCGTGTGACTGACGTTTTTCAGATGTCCCCATCTGAAAAATGGGAACAAAAATTACCCTACGTCATGTGAAAGTTTTGTTTTAAAGATTTTTTATTTATTTATCTGAGAGAGAGAATGGGAGACAGAGAGCATGAGAGGGGGAGGATCAGAGGGAGAAGCAGACTCCCCGCTGAGCAGGGAGTCCGATGTGGGACTCGATCCCGGGACTCCAGGATCATGACCTGAGCCGAAGGCAGTTGCTTAACCAACTGAGCCACCCAGGTGCCCCTCGTCATGTGAAAGTTTTAAGGATTGGATGAGTTATGTTTCCCAGACAAGCTTGCCTGACTCAGCAGGCTGTGACCTCCAGATGCCAGCGCGTTCACCCTTCTGGGCCTTTGCGCTCTCATTAAGTTCAAGTTGGGTGGATGGAGCCCTGCTCTCGGCTTCCCTGACCCCAAAATTCATGCTCAGTGTTAGACAGCAACATGGATGTGAGGTCCGAGAACCAGGTCCTCCATCTGTTTTGTTCACTTGCTTATGTCCTCTGCATAGATCAGGGCTGGCACACAGTAGGTGCCCAGTAAATACTGATTAGGTGGTTAGCTGAATGAGTTTAATTGAACCCTGCCTGTGTGCGGATAAGCAGCAGGTATGCGCAAGCTCGCAGTCATCCGCCCCACGGAGCATAGGTACTGTTCTTATCCCCACTTGACAGGATGAGGAGATTGAGGCTCAGGGAGGTACAGACTCTCACAGAAGGTCATGCAGCCAGCAGGGGGCAGACTGGGCTCTGAATCCAGGTTTTCCTGACTCTAAAACCCATTTGTGCCCGAACTCAAGACTGGTAGCTAACTGCTAGCTCGGCATCTCCACCCGGGCGTCTTGGAGCCCCTGAAACTCTGTCTGAGAGCAGACTCCTGGTTTTCCTCCCCTGCCCCACAGCGTTTTCCTGTCTCTGGAAAGGGCAAGTCCATCGCTACATTTGTTGAGGTCGGAAGCCTTGGCATCAGCCCCGCTGTTCTTCTCTCACTCCCACATCCCATCTGGCGGCGCCACCTCCGGTGGGCAGACTCCAGCTACCCCTCCCCTTTCACAGCCTCCCCCGGCCTCTCCTGGACTCTGCAGTCACCTTCTGTCTCGTCTCCCTTATCTCCACCCTTGCTTCCTTAGGGTCTGTCCTGAGTAAGGCAGCCCGAGGGATCTGATCCCATCACTGCTCTGCCCAAAACCCTCTGCCCTCTCTAGATGGAAGCCAGAGTCCTTGCAGTGGCTTCTGAGACCCTGTGTGACTGGCTCCCTGTCGCTCTCTCCACTCTGGGTACACAGACCTTTGCTGCTTCCTGAGTGTGCCAGGCAGGCATCCAGCCTCAGGGCCTTTGCACTGCCCGTGCCTCTCGCTGGAGCACTTTTCCTGATCTCCCTGTGGCTCACTTCCTCCTCTCCTTTAGTCACATGTCACCTTGTCAGGGAGGCCTCATTATGTAAAATTGCAACCCCCCCAACTTGGCCCTGAGCATATTCCACCCACTTACCCTGCTTTAATTTTCTCCATAGCACTTACACCATATGAAGCGTATTTATGTATTTGTTGTTCACCACTGTGTCCTCAGCACTGAGGTTGGAATGCAGCACACACTCGGCGAACTCGTACTGAATGCCTGGCTGCATATTGCCCTGTAGTAATAGCAAAAGCAAACATCTACGGAAGGCTGTCAGACCCTGCCCAGCACCTTGCACGACTTTGCATTTGTTTCCTCCCCAAAGCCCAGTGAAGGAGATGCCCTCATCCCCACTTCACAGATGAGGAATCTGGGACCCAGAGAGAGTGAAGTGCCTGGGTTCTTAAACATAAGAGTATTCTTCCTCCCCAAATCCTGACAACAGCTCGCTTTTCTTGAGCAGTGACCATGCCGGGCAACGTGCCAGGTGACATGTTTTACCCACATCCTCTCTGTGCTGCTCCGTCCCACGCCCACCCCCGACCCTACTGTCAGCGCAGCATTTTACAGCCCGTTAGCACAGCCCCCCCTCACAATCTCCATGCCCCAGAGCCCACTGAGGATCCAGGTGGCCAGGAAGTGATGATGTAAGCCATCTTCTGTGAAGGGACAAACCCATCATACACGACTCATGACAGCAAGTCTGCTTCACCGAGTCCTCCAGGGGAGGGCATCCACGCCGTCCCCAGCAGAGCTAGGATTCAAACATCCTTCATTTGTTAAGTCAGCAAGTATTATTACTTGCTTCTGTTTGAGCTGGGCAGTGCTGGGACACAGCAGTGACCATGATGGGCCCCAGCCACCCTCCTGGGGCTCCCGTCAGAGGCAGAAATTGAACAAGGAGTTACAAGTGCCAAGAGGTTAAAGAGCGAGTATTGAGGATGCCAGGGGAACCTATCGTGGGGAGAGGTCTCAGAGCCACAGGTCAGATGCAGCCCCCAGACCTAGTCAGTTAATTACTAAAACTCGACCTTCGGAAGATGTCACGTGAGGGTAGCTCTCCAGGGGCTCTGGCTATACTGGGCATATGTTTGCAAAGGGCGGTGGGCAGCTGAAGCAGGGCGATCAGTGCCCCATTTCGATGGGGGCACAAGTGTACTATTTGGCCATGGTCCCACCCGCCTACTTCTCACTTAACAGTACCCGCCAACTACCCCAGCTTGTGAGCCCGGGCCGGGGGGTCCCTGAGGAAACAACTTTTAAACTGAGACGAGAGCAAAAAGTCGGAATCATCGTGGTGCAGAATGAGGGGGAAAGAAACAAGGGGGGCAGCGAGGAATGTGGCATGGAGGCTAGAAGCAGGAGTTAAAAAGTCAGGTCTGTACAGGTCTTACATCTGTAAGATAAGCAAATCAGTTGTGCCTGCCTCACCAGTGAGATACTGGTGAAATTAGGCCTATGAAGGGTTTAGTGCACTGAGAGAGAAACTTGACAGAAACGTCCAGTGTGTCCGCGCCCGTGACCAACGAGGCCACACCAGCACTGGGGGGTGGGGAGGGCCCGACCGTCCCCGGAGGCCACAGCGGGCCTGCTGACTGCTGTCCATCCTCCATTTCTCCCCTCCTGCTTTTGGTAGTAAGACCTCCCACAGCACAACAGACGTGGATGTTTTTATTACATCTATTGAGATGATTATATGATTCACATCCTTTCTCTTATTGATGTAATGCATCACATTATTTGATTTGCAAATATTGAAACACCCTTACAACCCAGGATTAAATCCCACTTGAACTTGGTGAATGCGGACACACGGGACGTTTCTCTGTCACCCACAGCCAGATTCTTCAGACACAAGGGTGACCGCTTCAGGGGGCAGGATTTGGACTCCCAAAGCAGAAGTAACGGGCTAGAATGGAGCCAGTCACAAGTTTCTCTCTCAGTACACTAAACACTAGGCTTTCCTTTCCAACCAGTTTAAACTTTTTAATTGTGGACAACGTCAGACAGCCGCAAAAGTAGGAGGACTCAATCTAGCAAACTCCCGGGCTGTCACTGGCTCCCTCAGCTGTCAGCCAGCCCGTGACCGGTCTTGCTTCTTCTTTCCCTCCCCTCCCTTCCTCCCCCCCGCCCCGATTATTTTGAAACAAATCCGGGACATCCTATGGTCTCATCTGTACACATTTCAGTATTTATTGTGAAAACACAGACCGTTCAGAAAGCAACTGTTTTGTCATTATCATACACCGAGCAGTCATAGTAATTCTTTATCGTCACGTGAACAAGTTGGGCTGTGAAAGCAGCTGCTGGGTCTCGATCCAGAATTCTGGAGGACAGGATAGGAAAGGATACAGAGTGTCACGCGCATGCCAGTGAGTAAGGATCAGTACTGTTCTGTGGAGCGGTGCCGGCTCCTACATGTGCCGCCCACTGTGCAGACGTCCAAACTCTCGCCGTCTAGCTCAGATGTGGTTACATCCTCAGGTGAGTGCCTCCCCATCCACGCTCTCATTTCCGGCTGCCTGTGCCCCGCAGTGTGCTTGGTTTGGGCTGCAAGGAATGTGTGTGTAAACGGACGCGTGAATGCGTAGAGTGGTTTGTGACCTAAAATTTCCTCACGGGGCGTTGTGATGAGAGAAGGGCGAAAGCCCCTGCTGTGCTGGGTACGTTGGGCGGCAGTGTTTCTAGCCACGGGATGGCTCCCCACCGGCAATTTGAACTATTGCACGTTCTCTTTCCTTAATGCAGTTTCCGGAGAGCACAGACCAGACCAATCTCGATGTAACTTGTTCAGTAGCCGTGGCTGTGGCTTGTTAGGTTAATCCTTGTCTCCCAAGAAGAGGAGGGAATTCCTAAGGACACCCTGAGGGACCGGGGTTCTCTTTGGCGGGTCCTCTTATCCATAGTAACACGTGATCGTGGCGACAGTCACACACACATGAAGCAGGGAGTGAATCGGAAGCAAGGCCTGGTGTGGTCTGGTCAGCTCCAGGCTGGAGGACAGTCTGAGGAGGAGACTGGGGAGGGGGTTGTGCCTCTAAGAATGATGCCATGAAGTAAAGAATATGGCGCGAGCCCCCAACCAGAGAAGATCCCAGGTCTCTGGTCTGCTGCTTCTCCGGACTACTTTGGTTAGAGTCATTGGATCAGGATAAAATATTAGTGGCTTAAAACAACAAAGGTTTATCTGTTGCTCACACTCAATGTCCAAGCTTAGGTTCAGCAGGGGTCTCTGCTCCACATTGTTCTCACTCTGGGACCCCAGCTGACCACAAACAGCCACTCTCTGGAACAATCGCAGTAGCTGTGGCAGAGGGGAAAGGCCTACAGAGGGTCTTGCCCTGGCAATTAAATGCCCCACCCAGGATCACCTGACAGTTCCACTCACAACTCATTGACCAAAACAAGTCCCAGAGCCCACCCCCAACAAGGGGGCCAAGAAGTGTAATCCCACTATCTGGGGAAGGGGGAGGCCAGGGGCACTTGGAGAACATGGCTCATGACTGCCACGGTCTCTCCTGGTTAAGAAGCCACATGGTTGCCTATCCTTGTTTCTTCAGAAGTCAAGAGCCCAGGCTGGGACTGGGTGGGTGTTTACACCTATATCCTGGCATCACATGGGAGGGATGGGGGTCAGCAGGGTCTTTGGCCCCGAAGGCGGGGAGGAATCTGTGCGGGGGTCATCCAGAGCTTGCCTATTGCCCACAGGTCATGACCAATGGCTGGGAGACGGTGGACATGACCCTGCGGCGGAACGGGCTCGGGCAGCTGGGCTTCCATGTGAAGTACGACGGGACGGTAGCCGAGGTAGAGGACTACGGGTTTGCCTGGCAAGCCGGCCTCCGGCAAGGCAGCCGACTGGTGGAGATCTGCAAGGTGGCCGTGGTCACACTGACCCACGATCAGATGATAGACCTCCTGCGCACCTCTGTCACCGTCAAGGTGGTCATCATCCCGCCTTTCGACGATGGCACGCCCCGGAGGTAAGGGCATCTGCCCTGCAAGGTGGGAGCCGGGTGAGGGGGTGGTAGCTTCCAGAGCACTGTCACCCGACGCCCTTTCTCAGCAGGAAGAATGGTGACGGGGAAAGTCGACATCTGTCAAACACCCACTGCGTGCCACTTACGGTTGAAGCTCTCCAAATGAGCACTGTCCCATTTCATGTCCAAAATAGTCCCATGAGGTGGGCACCCTCATCAGTCCCATTTTCTAGATGATGCACACAGCATTAAAAGTAACTTGCCCCGAGGACACACTGCACTTGATCCATTTCTTCAGCACGTATTTATTGCACCTCTAACAAGGTGCAAGCTCCATTCGAAGTGCTGGGGAGACAGCAGGGACAAAATGGAGTGAGTGCCTGCTCCCTTTGGAGTTTGTGTTCTAGAGGCAGGGACAGGCAGTAATGAGGTTTAAGAAGAAAATTAAAGCAGGCTGGATAAAGGGCCTGCAGTGTGGTGGGAGAGCTGCTCATGGGTCAGGGAAGGCTACTGGGCAGAGGCAGCCATGTGGTCTTGTCCAGGCCAGGGCGTCCCCAACAGAGTCTGCAGAGTCTCCGAAGTGTGAGTGTGTGTGGCATGTCCATCCGTGCAGCAGAGACCAGTGTGGCTGGAACAGGGGTGAGAGGTGGGGCAACCTTCAGAGGAGCTTACACAGTGACAGACTTGGGTTTTACTCCACATACAGTGGGAAGACAACGGAAAGTTTGTCTTGGTTTTTTTTTTCTTTTTTTTTAAGGTTTTATTTATTTATTTGACAGAGAGAGACACAGCGAGAGAGGGAACACAAGCAGGGGGAGCAGGAGAGGGAGAAGCAGGCTTCC